CTATGCCGGAAGGTAGGGCGGAAGGCCCTCTTCAGCCTGCTTTCAGGAATCGTGGGAATGGGTGGGTGGTGGTTCGGGTGAGAAAGATGAGACGGACGAAATGAAGATAGAAGAAGGTGAAAGATTATTTGTGGAATATTACTGCCTCAGCATTTGCCTAAGTGATCTAAGGAAACCACAGAAAAACTTGGACCAAGGCAGACGGACCCGGAACCGAACCGGCGTCCTCCCGAATGCTAAACAATGGTCTAGACCTCTAGGCCGTGCCGCTCGGTGCGTTGTTGCTAACGTGCTATACTTCATATACTTTCTCAAGCGATGTGCCCCTTCCAATGTCTTGGATGCAGGCTGGCAAAATAGTAGGTAGGAAGAAAAAAGCTCATTATACTCTCGACTCTAGTTCATTAAACATACTTTTTCATACAGTACCTGCCAAATGTTTTTTCAATCATGAATAGTAGTGCGAGTCGAAAACAAGCGTTAAAGCCTTTAATATGTCTTCAAATATAAATAAACGTCTCGTTGATATTTTCAGTAGTAAATGGTACCAATAACAGCACATTTGAGCAATGCAATTATAGTCGATAAAATGGTCAATTTTTCCGTGCAGTACTGTACGGATTATACGCTCCTCACCGGTCATGAGTTTGACCGAGAGTTGTTTCCTTCTTTGTTTGGCCTAGTGCTGTTCTTTTCTACTTTGCGCCGGTCAAACTGAAGGTCATATCGCTACAGAAAGTAATAATAAAATAATTCGAAGAATACAGACCACTTCGAATTATTTTATTCGATTATGGTAACGTGCCTACCACGTTGAGGGGAGCTACGCAGGGATTCGTATCAGCAAGTAGATATCCGCATATATTTAAATGGACCTTGTTGAAGCATACGTAATCCTAATTTGTTGTATTTTCAAAAACACAGCAGTCAACATAAATTTTTATAAATTTTACAGACCATAACCTCAGCTATACCATAAAATTTTTGACCGAATGTTAATTTTAAGGTAAAACTAGCGTAACATCATAAAAACACCCAGGATAATTATGTTAAATATGTTTTTAACAGGCTTTTCTTTTCAGGAAAATGTGCGAGAGGCCCTTGATCTCACAGCCTCTCCGTTACGAGGACAACCACAAAATAGTCGCGCCAACCATCCGCCCATGGTTATACAGGGGGACTTTAGAAAGGTAATCTTGCCATTTGATTTGATACTCTTTTTATTTTAAAATTACAATTGATTTCGGATTTTATTAATGTAACAATACGATTCATAGAGTCTGTGTTGTCAATCTTGTGGTAGTGATGACTGATTGACCGAATAATTGACACCAATTGATTTGACTGTTGTTGATATTTGTTCGTTGTATTTTTGTTTACATTTCGATTCGAGCATTCTGTATAAATTTCAATATCTTCCTAGATTTGGATATGCTGTTTTCCCACTATTTTCTGTTGAATTTCTATTCTATAATGTGTAGTATGTCACTGATTTGCAGTGGACATCAATTATTACAAATAAGATGTAAGCGTCCGTGACGGGGATGTTAATTGAGAAAGATGGCGTAATTCCAAACCTAATTTATTTAAAAATGATTTTTTTTGTATGATTTATTTCCGTGAAATTTTCCGATATTTTAATAGTTATTCTGCTATTCAGGGCGGAGACGAATCCAACAAATCAGAGATCATTTGAGTCGGTTCAGACGTTCTTGAATTATAAATGGTGTAACTAACCCGACATTGTTTTATGTATTTAGACTTAAATCTTCGTCGGTGTTTCTTATTGTGGATTTTTTGTTGTTTACAGGTGTCAGGGATCAGTAGCGAAATTTTCAAGCAGATAGAGACTGTTGAAAATGACCATGATGCCTCAACAGCCGCTGCTTTGGAGGTAAGACATTCCATTCAAAATATTGCTAAGCCTTATAGGATTATGATTATCATCATCATAAGGTCGTCACTCCTAACACTAGTTGAATACGCACCTCCACTCCTTTCTATGCTCAGTTAATCTTCACATTTCTTTAACACATCCTTGACTATTTGCGAACAGTAATTTAATCTAGGTCTAGCCCTACTCCTTCTAACTTCTGTTTCTTCTTCTAATATGACTCTAACTAGTTCTTAACGGTAAGGTTTTAAACTACAGAAAGTACTTATTGGCAACAAGAAACTAGCCAGTACGAAAATTACCCCAAATAAAATTTTCTTCTTGTTTTGAACACATACATCTAAATAATTTCGCCTATTTATTCTTGCATTCAAATGTCGATTCAAAAATAAAGTAAGGCAAGTTAGGGTACCAAATACTACGGATAATCCTAAGAGATATAGGTACGGTAAGATATTTTAATCACGATCAGAATATTCCTTTTCTTAACTTATTGAAAATTTCTTTTTGTTCCTTGTTCGTGTTTATAAAAATAAACTTTTTTATAATTATTACTTAAGAAATACAACTTTAGTGTCTGGCTACTGGGCTAAGGATTTACATGCTACGTCTTAATTTCACGCAGATATCTCATTTGGTTTACAAGTTAGAAACTATTGGCAGCCGAACTGACAGACAGACAGAAAGACGTTGCCACAACAGTAGAATTCCATTGAATCCTAGCGCAGAACTCTAAATTTCAAGTATATGACGTTTGCTGACACTATTTTTTATTTATATACTTCTGTTAGAGCATTGAGAATAAAAATCTTGTGAACAGCTAACGAAAATTTATTCATTGAAAAGTATTTTTAATCTTGTCATAGTTAATTACCTATAGCACCACGTAAGTATTCATCTTTCCTTACCTGGATGGGATCAAAAATGATCTTGCTCAACTGGCCCAATTGTACTCTGACCTTCTCATTTTTGTTTAATTTAAAGCATATTTAGTTCTTGATAAGAAATTTATTGAAGTCTCCAGAAGTGCATCGCAATTTCGAAATTATTAGTTCTCATCAGCACACCACGTCGTAAATTCAGTTTGACAAGCAGACACCCTCGTAAATCTCTCTTGTCATACCTACACTATCTATACATATGCAGATAGCAGATATAGATATAGATATAGCAAAAATACAGTTAATTTGTTATAATTAATTTTGACTACAAATTCGTCAACTATGTCCTGTCGTTCAAGTAATTTAGTACATAATTTCTTTCCAACTTGAATACCCGAAGAGGGATATTTTTGACGTTGTTCTTTGATAACTTCATTTCAATTCAGTTTTTCACACTGATGCTTACCAATGAACTGACATATCCAGAACTCCTTGAGCATTCTTTATTAGCGATCAAGGTATATAATACGGCACAGCCGGAATAGGGGTTCCCAAAGGAATAGATTCCTTTTTTAGCCACCTGTCAAGCAATCCGAGGTTTAATTTTCCTCCTGTACACCGTACAGGGACAGATAATATACACATGAAGGTACGTATTGGAAAGTAATTTCGAATGAACCCCCTTCGAAAGCTGGAGAGCATTGTATTGTTTTGTCGAAGTTAATTGATTGAACTTTACGTGACCGAAACAGATGTTGATAATGAGAGAAGGATTGTCATGCATGCGGTGGCTAGTGCGGCGTCGACAACGCCGGCGGTTGACTGAAGACCAATGTACACCAGACCGTATTTCCATCTGCATGTTTTAGCCTCAATATTTGACCTCATATTTCATCGCCCTCGAATTGAGGGGTCCGAATTTCCACAAATTATTCCCACATCCGTGCGTCAATAGCACTCAACGTTAATGCAATTTAGAAGCGCGACGCCCGTCGCACATCATAATGACCACTATTTAGAAAATGCACATACATATATATA